CAGGGTCTGGTGACGCCATGGAGAATGTTCTTCTGCCTGCAACATCCTCCAGCATGACCGGTTTGGCAGTGGGTCAGTAATGGTGTGGGATGGCATTTATTTAGGGGGCTGCACAGCCCTCCATGTGCTCGTCAGAGGTAGCCTGACTGCCATTAGGTACCGAGATGAGATCCTCAGACCCCTTGTGAGACCATATGCTGGTGTGGTTGGCCCTGGGTTCCTCCTAATGCAAGACAATGCTAGACCTCATGTGGCTGGAGTGTGTCAGCAGTTCCTGCAAGACGAAGGCATTGATGCTATGGACTGGCCTGCCCGTTCCCCAGACCTGAATCCAATTGAGCACATCTGGGACAACATGTCTCACTCCATCCACCAATGCCACGTTGCACCACAGACTGTCCAGGAGTTTGGGGATGCTTTAGTCCAGGTGTGGGAGGAGATCCCTCAGACCATCCGCCATCTCATCAGGAGCATGCCCAGGCATTGTAGGGAGGTCATACAGGCACGTGGAGGCCACACTGAGACTCATTTTGACTTGTTTTAAGGACATTACATCAAAGTTGGATCACCCTGTAGTGTTGTTTTCCACTTTAATTTTGAGTGTAACTCCAAATCCAGACCTCCATGGGTTGCTAAATTTGATTTCCATTGATAATTTTTGTGTGATTTTGTTGTCAGCACATTCAACTATGTAATGAACGAAGTATTTAATAAGAATATTTCATTCATTCAGATCTAGGAAGTCTTATTTTTGTCTTCCCTTTATTTTTTTGAGCAGTGTAGTTTGCAACCATTGAAGGAACACAGGCACTCAGAATTTCAATAGATCGGTAGAGCCTTCAAGGTCAAATGTGCCACAATTTAAATTTGATGCTACGGGTCCTGTAAGAACCTAGTATATTCACTGGGATAGAGCAGGGGGTATCTGCAAAGAAGGGGTGGGCAGAAGCAAGATGGTGGATGGAATGTTGGGATGCAAGCCCCACCCCTTTGGAACGTCCACTTTCAAAAAGGGCTGCCATCTTGAAATTCATTCTCCCATCTTGTCTACGTAGATTCTCAGTCATCTAGGTCACAGTTGTCCCAAAGGTGTTTTTTTCAAGAGGCAGCTAGATTTTCTGGTTTTTCTTTGGAGGCATTTCGCTTCTCATCCAAGGAGCTTCTTCAGCTCTTCTTCTTGACTGTTCTGACCCAAACCCTTTTCCAATAAGACAAACAATAATTAAAGGGAACAGAAACCTTTTAATGAGTCTTACGAATCCTCAGTTAAAAGGCTGCTGCAAACTAATTAACTTTGATAAGCACAAACCTTGCAAAAACTGTACGAGACTGCCAAAAATCACAGATAAGAAATATTTCACAGCACAAGAGTCCAACTTAAGATACTGTAATGTTCACAAGGCTGAGTTTCAAAATGTCTTTGCTTCCTGCAAAGAACGTTTGCTTCACATCTGGCTTTTATCTTCTTGAACTAGGGGCCATTGCCTTGCAGCCTTACTCCCGAGTCACCCATGCTGTTGTAGCTGCTCTTTACTGTGAGCAATCCTGCGCACATGCGCACTTGGTATAGGCTCCTCAGGAACCTCCTCATTGCTGCTGCCAGCCCCCACAATCTCTGAAGGCAGCAGTCTGCTCCCCAATGGTCCTGGCCCCTCATCTGAGTCCTCACTCTCCTCAGCCATCTGCACCTGCTGCCGGCTAACCACAACACTAGACAAGAAGCAAAATGTCTTCAAAGAAAAACCAGAAAACTCAGTTGCCACTCAAAAAAGCATCTTCGAGGCTTCCGCCAAGTTGCCAATTTAATTTCCCTTTCCCTGGACATCCCTAGAAGTACTTAAAAGCCAGGAGCTGGAATTCTAGTACATTGATCTTCCTGAAATTTCTTCTTGGATTATTATCAACACCCGAAAGGTGCTTTTTCAAGAGGCAACTGGACTTTCTGGTTTTTCTTTGGAGACGTTTCGCTTCTCATCCAAGAAGCTTCTTCAGAGTTGAAGAAGCTTCTTGGATGAAAAGCAAAATGTCTCCCCCCCCCCCCCCCCAAAAAAAATGAAAAAGTCCAGCTGCCTCTTGAAAAAAACACCTTTGGGACAACCATGACCTGAATGACTGAGAATCTCCATAGATTATCAACATTTTCAGTACACCCATAAATTACATAGTGAGGAAGACAACAGGTTGAGCATGGTGTATGTGCACTCTGAAGGGGCAGGATGGAAAAAAATTGTCCACCTGGATTGATACTAGCATTAAACTTACTTAGGCAGCTGCCAGGATCAAAGCAATGAACATAGGAACTAAGACGTAGTTTTGGAATACTTTGGTTCTAATTAAGCAACCTTAGGAAGTCATTCCGTGAACAATTCCCCTTTTCTCCTTAAAAGCGAAGCTCCAGTTTTACTTCACATCTTCTCAGGCTTCTTCTTATAGTCCCAACAGCCTTTTCCCTGATATGGAAGGATGCCCCAAAACAATGCTAAAAACACTGATATAAAAGCCAAGTAGACTGACCCAAGGCAAACTCATGTTCCGGTCCACTAATAACCACAAACATTCACTGGGTGGTTTTTGGACCAACTCCTCTCTTTTACCCCAAGAACTTGGATGAGGTAGTGGTGAAGGTGCTGGATTAGGTTTGGGGAGACCCAGGTTGTAGTCCTCTCTCAATCACAGCAGCTCAAGTGTTGTCACCTGTCAGCCGCCAGCCCCTCCAGCAACCAAATCAGAGGAGGAGGTGTGGGAGGCAGTGTTAAGGCAACCTGAGAGCTCCAAGGGGGAAGAGGGAATGGAGTTCTCAGATAGTGTCAATAGCCCCCAGTTCTGGAGGTGGCTGATGAGGAAGAGGAACAGCTGGGTCCGGTTCCTGACCTGCGGATGCGCAGAAGGCAGAAGAGAGCAGTGGAAATCTATGGGCCGGTCCTTGGGATGGAAGAGCCACCGTTGTTAGCAAGACCCCACCCTAGCTCTGGGGATGAAAGGCAGAGGGCAGAGATGAATAGTGTTTTTCCGAAAATAAGACCGGATCTTATATTAATTTTTGCTCCAAAAGACGCATTAGGGCTTATTTTCCGGTTAGGTCTTAATTTAGGGGAAATACAGGTCTAAATGCATCCATCTGGCTGACAATCTTAATTGGGGCTTATTTTCAGGGTAGGGTTTATATTACGAGCATCCTGAAAAATCATGCTAGGGCTTATTTTTAGGGAAACAGGGTATGGCAGACAACTATTCATCTCCCTGCCAGACAGACTTGTTAGTCTGCTGTGTGTGTGTGTGTGTGTGTGTGAGAGAGAGAGAGAGAGAGAGAGAGAGACACATTTTTTTGCCAGGGCTGCTGGTGCTGCTAATAAAGGGAACAATTATGTGATTACAGTGGGTTTGTTGTGTTTTGGAGCTGGGTCAGAACACTCAACTGGGTGATTCTGGATCAGTTCCTCTCTCTAAGGCCAAGATCCAGTGTGGCATAATGGTATTGAACTTGAAAAAGGAAAACTATTTCATTTTCAGCCACCAAAACTGATTGTTATCACAGAACTGTAGTGGTGGGGGAAAACAGGTGAGATGGTTATATACATCGGCTTGAGCTCTGAATGAAAGGGAGAATATAAACCTAATGCTGCTTCTAATAAGTAAGAATAATAAGTGCTTCATTGCTGTGCTGGTGATGTTCCACCTCTATCTATAGCAAGGGTCTTCAAACTTGGCAAGTTTAAGGCCTGTGGACTTCAACTCCCAGAATTCCTGAGCTAACATGACTGGAGGAGGAATTCTGGGAGTTGAAGTCCACAAGACTTAAAGCTGTCACGTTTGAAGGCCCCCTGCCTTAGCACACCAACCCTATCAAAGACCAGGCATTTCCTGCCTTCCTGAAGCCAACGGTACAGTGAGTTTAGTGGACTCCGTCACCTGTAAAACTCCATCCTTCATCTAATCCAAGGATCTTCAAACTTGGCAAGTTTAAGAGTTGCGCACTTCAACTCCCAGAATTTCTGAGCTGACATGACTGGAGGAGGAATTCTGGGAGTTGAAGTCCACAAGTCTTAAAGCTGTCCAGTTTGAAGACCCCTGATCTATAGGGTTTAAACCAAATGCAGTTGTCTTGTTTGACCATATAGTCCTCAATTTACAAACCATTCGTTAGCAACCGAAGTTACAACGGCATTGAAAAAAAGTGACTTACGACCATTTTTTTGTGCTTACCACCATTATTATATCTCCATAATGACATGGTCAGAATTTGGATATTTGGCAATCAGTTCATATTTATGATGGTTTGCGGTGTCCCAGAGATCATATGATCACCTTTTGCCACCTTCTGGTCAGCAAAGTCGATGGGGAAGCCAGATTCACTTAACAACCGTATTGTGTTTTGCCCCATTTCATGACCCTTCTTGCCACTGTTGTTGAGTGAATCATTGCAGTCCTTTCATTCCACCCCCCCGTAACAACCCCAAGGAAATGCTGAACCACAAAATGATCAGATAGCAATTTTTTTTTCTGTGCAGGTTTTTTTCTTCTTTATAAACAGAATCATTTCCCACTTTGCAACAAACTCTGCAAGCCAACTCCTTAATCTTTTGTTTTAAAAAAAATATATATATGTATATTTATATATACCATATGCTTTTATTCCTGCTTGATTTTCCTTTGTTTTTTCTCCCTCCTCGTATTGACAGAGGTGTCAACAGAATCAAACAGCACAAATTGTGACCACAAATTCAGTTGCAAACTTAAGATATTTTTTCCTTGTTTTTTGTTTTTTTTAGGGAAGGGTGGGTGATTGGTATATATAGGTATCTTTTTTATATATATAAAAAAATCAGGTCTATGTTACTTGCTGTTACGATAGTATTTTACCATTTTAGGAACCATTTATTATTATTATTATTTTTATTTTATTTTAAAAAAAATTCTGTTCAGAAGTGGGTAGAAGGGAAGGACACAAAATAGAGATTTCCTTTTTTTAAAAAAAACCTCATCTCCTGATTTTTTTTTTCAAACCTGAAATCCTAAAACACTGCTGAAGTTTAATTAAAAAATTATATAATATCAAAAAACACACACGGAAAAAAACAACAACCCTGTTGTCATTCGATCCACCACTATTGCCTTTCCTAACGACCTGGGTTATCAGCTATCATACAAACACCGTACCTCTATACAAACGCGCTTTTAAACTAATAAAATAAAGATTACTTACAAGAAAGAGAGAGGGGGGAAAGAGAAAAAGAGAGTGACAAAAGATGGGAAGGGAAGGCAAACTTTTAGAGTGGGTTCTGCCCAGAGCCTTAAAACAACGAGAAAGAAAAGAACGTGAGACAATAATTTGAGGAAATGAGTGACTCGAGTTACGAGGACAGAGCAAAAAAGAAAAGAAACAAAAAAAAAGGCAGAAATTCGGCATCTGGATCGTCCTCTCGTTGGACAAAACGCAGCTAAAAATCCTGTTGGTTTGATTTGCAAGTCCCCAGAAAAGGAGATAAGAATTCTGTCCGGGATTTAAAAACACCTCACAGGTTGCCCGCAAAATGCAAAAGTTTTTTTCCCCCCCCCTTCTTCTTTCCTTGCATAAGGATGTTTCCAACCTCGTCGTGAAACGGTGCATTGCCTGTCTGCAGGCTGTGTTGAAATTAACTGGCTGATTCGTGCAACGTGTGTGTGTGTGTGTGTGTGTGTGTGTCAAGCTGACCCCGCTGTGTTTGTATTGTCTTCCCCTTTCACCAGACATACCTGTGACACCGAGGCTCTCGGGCCGTGGTCGTGCGCCCCAACGGAACAGGCCCACCCTCTTGGAAGCAAGATGCGAAACATGCAGAGGAGACAAGGAAAGGAAAGCGGGGCGGGGGTGGGAAATTTAGCAGGTTTTGTTTTTTTTCCTTTTAAAACAGACAAGCTCAAGGAAGGGTGTGTGCTTCCCCACAACCCCCCCCCCCAGCAATACCACCCCGAGTTCCCACCCAGGAAAAGGGTGACGGAAATCAGTGAACCTGTGTTAAAAACCTTATTGTAAAAAAAAAAATAAAAATGCAGGATTTTGTCGGTTGAATCTTAATACTTCCCGGGGAAAGAGAGAGAGAGAGAGAGGGAGAGAGAAAGGGTGAGAGAGAGAAAAAGAAGGAAGGGAGGGAGGAAGGAAAGAGGGAGGGAGGAAAGGAAGGAAGGAAGGAAAGGAAAGGAAAGGAAAGGAAAGGAAAGGAAAGGAAAGGAAAGGAAAGGAAGGAAGGAAGGAAAGAAGGAAGGAAGGAAGGGAAGGACGGGACAAGGATGCACCTGGTGGGAAGAAAGCCAGATACCATCTTTTAGAGCAGTAGCAAGGTTTGGGGTAGAAAAGACCGCCCCCCCCCCCATCTCCTCTGTCCACTCCCTCCCCCCTCCTACCCCTCCCCACATTCCCCTGTCCTCAAACGCAGGTTCATCCACCCACAGGCGATGGGTTTCGCTATGTCATTGTTGTCGGGAGGATTCGGTTTAAAACAAACAAACAAAAAAAAAAACACCCCAGAAGAATTGGGAGGCTGAGATTCGGCATGTAGTAGGCAGAGGCGAAGGAAAGGGGCTACTGCCCTGGGGTGTCGCCCACCATTTCGATTCCGTGTTGTTGAAGCTGTGCTCTCAAAAGGGCGTTTTCATTCTTCATCTGCTCAATAACTGGGCCCGGCAAAACAAACAAAACAAAAAAAAAGAGGCACCCCCTTGATTTATGACTGTAGTTGGAACCTGGGAATTTCCATCATACGTCCTGACCATTGTAAGTTGGAGGACTCGGCTAACCAAGCCAGAATAACACAGTTGGAAGGGGCGTTAGAGGTTTTCTAATCCAATCCTCTGCTCAAGCAGCAGACCCTGTACCAGTGGTAGCTAACCTTTTTGGGCTCCTGTGCCAAAAATTGTGTGCACACTTGCATGCTTGCGCGCATGTGCCACTGCCCAGAGTGCAATGCGTGCCCCCACCTACGCCCCCTATGCATGCATGTGCAATCCCCCCCCCCCCATCTCCCACTGCTCCCCTTATCTGCACTGCGCCTCACAGCTGGTTTTCGGCCTACAAAGCTTGCTGAAGCCTGCAGAAGCCTTCCTCAAGCCTTTGGGAGGCCGGAAAAAAAGGCCTCAAACTGGCCGAAAATCAGCTGTGAGGCACACACGTGTGCAGTGAGGTAAGTCTGCCTGCACCTCGCATGCTGGCATAAATGGCTCTGCGTGCCACCACATAAATGGCTCTGTGTGCCACTCTGCGTACCACCTGCGTGGCATGCATGCCAGCGCCTATACCACTTCGGACAAATGGCTTCCCACTCTCGTATTAAAAACCTCCAGTGACAGAGCACCCACAACTTCTGGTGGCAAGCTGTTCCACTGGTTAATTGTTCTGTTGGGAAATTCCTCCTTAGTTTTAGGTTGCTTCTCTCCTTGGTTCATTTCCATCCGTTGTTTCTTGTCCGGCCCTCAGGGGCTTTGGAGAATAGCTTGACTCCCTCTTCTTTGGGGCAGCCCCTGAGAGATTGGAACGCTGCTCTCATGTCACCCCTAGTCCTTCTTTTCATTAGACTAGACATACCCAGTTCCTGCAACCGTTCTTTATATATGTTTTAGCCTTCAGTCCCCTAATCGTTTTGTTTATCTTCTCTGCACTCTTTCCAGAATCTCAACGTATTTTTTATATCATGGTGATCAAAACTGGATGTTGATTTTTATAACATTTTTTTGTGGCAGTTGTAAAGCGGAAACTGTGTCGTAAACAAGCCCATGTATTCTTAAGGGATGTTTTTCACTAGAAACTGGGCAAAACACACAAGCATACGTGCTTGCGCACGCGCATATTTTGTGAAAAATACACACATATTTTGTGAAAGCAAAGGGACTTACCCTGTTTACATTATACCTGCAAACATATAAAGTGTCCATCTTCTCTTCTTCTGAGATAACGTTTAACTGCAACAGCTGAAATTGTACTCTGCTGCACTTACACATTTGCTCCAAGGCTTCTGCACCATTATTACTACAGGTAGTCCTCGACTTACAACAGTTCACTTAGTGACCGTTTAAAGTTACAATGGCACTGAAAAAAGTGACTTATGACCGTTTTTCACCGTTATGATCTTTGGAGCATCCCCATAATCATGTGATCAAAATTCAGATAGCAATAGCAATCACACTTAGACTTATATGCCTCTTCACGGTGCTTTACAGCCCCCTCTAAGCCGTTTACAGAGTCGGCCTATTGCCCCCAACAATCTGGGTCCTCATTTGACCCATCTTGGAAGGATGGAAGGCTGAGTCAACCCTGCCTGCAACTGTTAAATTGCAGGCAGCTGGCAGGCAAGCAGAAGTAGCCTGCAGTACCACATTCCAACCACTGTGCCACCATGGTTACTTGGCCACTGGCTCGTGTTTATGACGGTTACAGTGTCCAGGGGTCACGTGAACCCCTTCTGCGACCTTCCGACAAGCCAAGTCCCAGAGGAAACCAGATTCACTTAACAACCGGGTGACTAACTTATCCACTGCGGTGACTCACTTAACAACGGTGGAAACGAAAGTCCAAAATGCGGCAAAGCTCCCTTAACCAATGTTTCACTTAACCGCAGCAATTTTGGCCTCCGTTGTGGTCGTACGAGGACTACCTGCAATCGGTTTTATTGCTGGCCACAATCCCAAAACCTGTTCCAAAGCAAGAGAGGGAGAATGTGGGCGGAGCTACCTGTTGCCGTAGCAGGTCATTGTCCATCTGAAGCCTCTCGGCTTCCTTGAACGTCTCCTGCATACGCTGGTTCGTCTGGCGTAGCTCCCGGATGTAGTCACAGGCTTTGGACAGGATGCCCCCTTTGCTCTAAAAAGAGAGAGGAACAAGGACCAGCTCCATCACTGAGCTTCCTGCTCAGCCTCACCTTGGATGGTGGGAAGGGTCTTCAAGATCATCAGGTCCTTCCTCCTTTACACACTGTTGTGGCCTGCTAGCAGCCAGCGGAGCTGGTGGCAGACTCGGACAATGAGGAGGTTGGGGAGGAACATGGGCCAGTCCTGGAGTCTGGGGAAGGCTCTGACGAGGGCTCTGCGTCAGAGGCAGAGATGGGTCCAGGGCCATCCAACAGTTATCAGCTCCCATCAGTGAGGCAGAAGAACAGCTGGAGCCTGTTCCCAGTGTGCGCATGCACAGAGCTGCCAAAAGAAGGGAACAGCTAAGGAACAAGGTCGACTTGGGAGTAAAGCCACAGATTGACGGTGAATGGCCCCTCTTGTAAGGAATAAAAGGAGTGAAAGGGGAGTGAGATTTTGCAGGAGAGAATTAGTTCATTTGGGTGAAGATCTGTTCCTGCATTCTTGCTAATTATTGTCTGCTACAGTGTGGCCTCTGGAAGATATCGGCCTGGCAACTCTCCAAGCCTGATTAAAGGTCTGTAATTGTGGAATATCTTGAAAGACTGTTGGCTGGGAATTTTATGGAGAGGAATTCACTGTAAACTAAATAAAAGGGGTTTATCTGGACCAAGAGTCAGCTTCGTGCTGTTGGGGAATCCTAGGTCAGAACACACACCTTCAAACCTCCAAGGATTAGCTGGTTCTGTTTTTAGCATAGGACTTCTTTATTTATTTGTGGCTGGCTAAAATACTGATTCATCTCACTTTATAGAACTTGCTGTTATAGTCAAAAAGGAAGCATTGTTCATTAATTACACTTTCCCCCAAGATGGTTGAATTTGTTTCCACCACCCCCTGACTTCCTAGAGCTTTAGGACTATTTACCTGGTAGCTCCCCATTTGAGTACTAATGAGGTCAAAACCGCTTAACTTCTTGAGTTTAGGCCAAACTGGCCAACTAATGGCCACAGCTCCAGGATTTCTCAAGTGGAAAAAGAGGTTTCTTTGTGGGGTTCTCCTCAGCTAAGGAGAAATCATTAGGAAGAAATGTCTGCAAATCTATGGAACTCTTCAAGGAACTCTCAATTATGACTGTGCAGGTGATGCAAATGTAGAAAAAAACAGGTCATTTGCATTATTCCTCCTCCTACTGTGTTGGATGAAATTATCAATTCCCCATCGTATCCTCAAAAGAGATGGATTAACAGAGTTGGAAGGGACCTTGTAGGTCATCTAGTCCAACTCTCTGCCCAAGTAAGAGACCCTACACCATATTTCTGACAAATGACAGTCCAGTTTCTTCTTGAGAGCTTCCAGTGATGAAGCTCCCACAACTTCTGAAGGCAACTTCTGTTCCATTGATTGTTCTCACTGTCAGAAAATTTCTCCTTATTTCCAGGTTGAACCACTCCTTGTTCAGCTTCCACCCATTATTCCTTTTCTGGCCTTCAGGTGCTTTGGAAAATAGCTTGACCCCCTTCCTCTCTCTGTGGCAACTCCTCAAATACTGGAAGGCTGTTATTGTGTCTCCCCTGGTCCTTCTCTTCACTAGACTAGCCATACCGAGTACTTGATAAGCAGAGTTGGGAAAATAAGTGGGACTTCAGCCTCCCAACTAACCAATAAGCTATTTCAGAAGCCTGCAGGAGTGACTCCCTTGTTATCATCACTGGAATTAGTGATTAGACAGGCTGCCTGCTGAAGAGCCAAGGATAGGCCCAGTAGTGGTACGAGGGTGAAGTTTTGTTCTCCAATCTTGTGGGTTGGTTTCCAAACATTTTGTTACCAGGTTGGGTAACATCTTCAGCAGAGTTTAGGGGATACATCAGTGTTCTTCTGTTTATAAGGGCTTAATGGTGTGGGTGTGTCAAGTGAGGGTCTTGTGATGGGTCATGTATGAGTCATCGGTGAGAGTCTTGTGATGGGAAGGCTACATCAGGTTAGGGTCATTGGAAGATGAACTGCTGGTGGTGGTGGGACTTGTGTGAGTTGGTTGAGGTTGATGCCATCTCTGGTTGGCTATGTGCAGTTGATATACAGTAGATTCTGAGGGGTACGTAGGCTGGTTGTAGGCCAACATGTCCTGTTGATGGAACTGGTTGTGGAGTGCCAGGCTTTGAGAAAGCGTGGCGGGTGGTAGCGTGGCCGATGATTTTGCTCCAATCAAACCAGTGCTATTTGGTGTCAGTGTGGGTAGAGATTAAGGATTTGGGTTTGTGTCATTTAACTATTAGTGGTACATACCGTGTTTCCCCGAAAATGTTACATACCCTAAGCTTGATTTTTACACATGTGATTTAAATCCTAGCTTGATTTTTACACGTGTGCCCAATATAAGCCCTATCCCTCAAAATAAGCCCTAATTAAGATCCCGCAAACTCCAGGGTGCACGGGTAAAAATTAAACTAGGGTGGGGATGGAGGTGGAGTTGCCCTACTACTTACCTTCAGACAGTTGCAGCCAGGCCTCACACACCCCGACACCTGCCTTGCCGGCCCATTTTTTCTGCAGCCGGCAAGGCTTTCCTGAAGGCCTCTGTAGCCGATAACGGAGCTCCAGATCGATCCAGAACTCTGTTATTGGCTGCAGAGGCCTTTAGGAAAGCCTTTCCGGCCTTGCTGGCTGCTGAAGAAGTTCCTGAAGGCCTCTGACAGCAAAAAGGCGGCTGGGGGTGACACACGTAAGGTTAGTCAGTGGATGACATTCCCCCCAAAACAAGACCTGGTGCTTTTTTTTTTGGTGGCAAAAAAAATATGACAGGGTCTTATTTTGGGGGAAACATGGTATTAGGGCTTCACGCCAGAATTTCTGCAGCCTGTGCTACTCAAAGACGTCAATAGTTTGCAATTCAAGATCAGAATTATTTAGTATAATTCTTTTGATCAAAACTACAGTGGGAAAAAGGGATTGCTAATTTTCTTCCTAATTATCATCCCCAGAGGATTGGACTGTAACTTCTCATCAACTTGAGCAAGAAGTCCAATCCACAGGTAAAGCAAAGGTAATAGATGAAGGCAAGCAATTGCCCTATAACTCAATCCTCTGGCAGGGAAGGATGTTTTCACAAGGTATAATCTGACCGAAGAGTACTTGTGGCTCCAATTACTCCACAATTATGCATCTATAGGCAGGCCAACGAGGCTGTAATTATCCAGAACAATTTCAAACAAGATAACCAACAGGGAAAATTCATCTGGGAGAAACAATAATCAGGAAAAAGTCTCCAACCTTGCTGGAACCATGGAAGGGCGACCTGGGACATCTCATGAGAGAAGCTTAACATCTCCTCCCCAAAGCTAAACATTGTTCCTTCTGTGCTACACCCCCCCACCCCCCCGCAATCAAGTAATCACTCTCACCGCCCCTGTCTTGGTGTTGTCTGTATTGCAGTCTGGAATGATTTTTGACAGTTGTACGATCCAATTGTTGATCTTGTCCCGCCTCCTCCGTTCAACTTAGAGAGAGGGAGGGAGGGAGAGGGAGAGGGAGAAGGGGAGAGAGAGAGAGAGAGAGAGAGAGAGAGAGAACGAGAACAAAAATAAGACACTGATCAAACATGGCAACCTCACAATAACATGTGGAGGGATGGAGTGATTGACTTTGGAGGAAGAGAAACAGACACACTCACACAGAGCTATTACAGCTACTACAGCTAATTACAGCTACTACAGATCAGAAATTGAAGTTTTGGTCTAATCTGGGCAACCTGTGTTTCTTCAGATGTTGTTGAACTACAATTCCCAGTATTCATCTCCAATAGGTGGGATGTCTGGGGCCAAAAGCTACCAAAAATGGAGCCAGGGGGCAGGTGCATGTGGCCCCTGAGCTCTATTTTCACTGGCAGAGGCACCATGGGCCGGTCCTTCACTGTTTCTAGGGTGGCCACGCAGACCAGATCTAAGCACCCGGTGGGCTGGATTCAGCCCGCGGTCCTTGAGTTTCACACCCATCAGCCTATTGACCCCAGAATCTGGGTCCTCATTTTACCAACCTTGGAAGGATGGAAGGCTGAGTCAACCTTGAGCCAGACAGGATTGAACTCCTGGCAGTGGGCAGTTAGCCTCACTGGTGGGCTGATACCGGTTCAGACTGGTTCTAGTGAACTGGTAGTTCTGGTGAGCAGTTGGCCCCACCCACTCGCCCCTCTCCTTTCCTCTCCTATATTTCCTTGTGTTTTTTTTTAGCTCAGCTGATTCGCGGGGCCGAGCAGATTGCCGTGCCTCAGCTGTTTTACTCACCAGCGCTGACATAAAGGTAAGTTTTGTAAGCTTAAAATGGGCAGTTTCTGAACACTGCGCGCGCGAGCAAACCATGCATTAGGCGAACCGGCGTTTAAACCCGTTGCAGCCCATCACTGGTTAGCCTGTAGTACTGCATTCTGCACCATCATGGCGCTTTCCAAGAATTGGAAAAAAAGGGAAAGAAATTGGTCTTTCTCAATCATGTTTCAAAGCAATGCAGTCCTTCCTCATCTGATTAGGGCACAAATTTGGAGATTGGAGAGAACTGTTAAGAGCGTTTGCAGTGTGACTACTATTATGAGACAACCCAGGAGCAAAACACAGTACATAGAGACTTAGACAATCAACAGTGGTTTATATACAATAATTGTATACAGACATATACTTGGTATATGCAAAATACCTTACAAGCAATCTTTCTTCTTCTTAACTCTATACGGAGAACTCAGCAATGAATACCGGACAGAAGGAGAGAGGACAAGCCCTCTAATGGCTGCCTTTAGATAAGCACCTCTTAAAGGGGTAGAACCCATCCCCCAGTCTTAAAGGGAAGTACCCATGCTATGCTGATTCATTCTTATTGCATCATCCTATATTGCATCAGCTTCACTGCTGGTCAGCTCTTAAATCCCAAGACCTTAACAAGAGCTGAGCCAGCTTGGCTGTTCTTCCCTACCTTCATTGTGCTGAGCTCTTCGCCTCTCATCTCGGGGTGTCCGCGTCCCGTCCATTTTCCTAGGATTTGAAGCGAAGGATTGGAATAAATCAGAAGCGCAGCAGCTTTCCGAAACCCCGTTCCCATCTCAGAACCTTTTCTATTACGTTAAAAGATGCAGTTAAAGATACCAAAAGTCAGCCCACTCCTTCAACACAGGCAGGCATGCCTAAGAATCGAGAAATCGGGGAAAGCTAACGCCCTCGTGGACTTTCTGAGTTGGAAGGAAAAGGAACATCAATCCAGTGCTGATTGCTAAACCAGAGTGTTTGTTTTTCTAAAACCCATCAGAAACGCAACAATTAGAGTGGACCCTTTCTCCATAAGGTTGCAATGCTCAACAGTTTTGGAAAATGAATCTCTGGGGAGATCTGGCCTGTTGCTGCTTTCTGCAGTGCGAAGACTCTAATCTTGATCCTTTCTTTATACCTCCTTCCAGCCTCACTGGAGATTCCACCACACACTGTTCCTCAACATTGGTCTGATCTATCCTTCCTTAGCTACATTCCTTTATATCCTGGCATATCAACTCGCCTGTTTTCTCTCCTCCCCGTCTCCAGAATTACCTGCTTGTGGCCCCACCTGTTCTGCCCTCTTCCAGCTCGCCTCCCTCCCTTCCTCCCCACAACCACACTGTGGAATATCTAGAATTTCCCTGACTGAAGACCCTGATTGAAACTTCAAGTTTGCGCCCGAAGCAGTACGTACGGGGAATAGGGGTGTGTGCGGGGAGCTATGGTACGTTGTGTTCCGGTCTGCAAGACGTCTTGGGGGGTCATCATCACGTAGAACTGACCTGAAGGAGCAACGTGGAGAAGGTATTAACACCACCAGATAAATGACTAAACATTTTTTTAAAAAAGGGGGCGGGGTGAGAAAGGACGCCTGCAAAAAAATGTTACCAGTGCCAAATGCTTGCATGAAAAGACTTAGCTGTTGCTTTTTGTCCATCTGCTCCCTCCCTCCATTCCCAATTTTCCTCCTTCTCAACAATAAATCTGAGGTTTGGCTGCTGAGAATGGACGGTCCTCACTGGGCTGTGCCTTTCTTTCTTTTATTCCTCCCCCTCCCCTCCCCAAATTAAAAATTAAAAGCAGTTTCAAGGAACGGATAGGCTTCTACCCTGTGAGTGGCAATACTAAACACATAGATTTCCACAGGCTATTTTTATAGGTATATATATATAAACTATGAAGCCATTTCTTGCAGTCAGAATCTTCCTCACTTATTTCCCAACATAAGGAGCTAAAATGAACCTGGGCAGTTTACAATTTATTGACTTGTTGGACAGACCCACAATCTTAACATGTGGTGTCCATTAGATCAAGTCAGATGCTTTATTTGTCTGGGTAAAGTCCGTCATGTAGAATATAGAATAACAGAGTTGGGAAGGGACCTTGGAGGTCTTCTAGTCCAACCCCCTGCTTAGACAGGAAACCCTACACCACTTCAGGCAAATGGTTGTCCGATCTCTTTTTAAAAACTTCCAGTGATGGAGCATTCACAACTGTTGGAGACAAGTTGTTCCACTGATTAATTGTTCTAACTGACAGGAAATTTCTCCTTAGTTCTAAGTTGCTTCTCTCCTTGATTAATTTCCACCCATGGCTTCTTGTCCGGCCCTCAGGGGCTTTGGAGAATAGCTTGACCCCCTCTTCTTTGGGGCAACCCCTGAGATATTGGAAGACTGCTATCATGTCTCCCCTAATCCTTTTTTTCATTAAACTAGACATGGCCAGTTCCTGCAACCGTTCTTCATACGTTTGAGCCTCCAGTCCCCTAATCTTCTTTGTTGCTCTTCTCTGCACTCTTTCTAGAGTCTCAACATCTTTTTTACATCGTGGTGACCAAAACTGAATGCCATATTCCAAGTGTGGCCTTACCAGGACATTATAAAGTGGTATTAACTCTTCACGTGATCTTGATTCTCTCCCTCTGTTTATGCAGCCTAGGACTGTGTTGGCTTTTTTGGCAGCTGCAGCACAATGCTGGCTCATATTTAAGGGATTGTCCACTAGGAAACAGAGCAACTGTTTTGTTCATCGGAGTTCTAACCTGTGGCACTGTGATCTGTCCTGCGATCAACACAGTTTTGACTCTTTTTACCTACAATATTTTTACGTACAATACAAGGGGACGCTGTGGCTCAGTGGCTAAGACGCTGACCTTGTCGATCAGAAAGGTCAGCAGTTTGATGGTTCGAATCCCTAACGCTGTATAACGGAGTAAGCTCCTTTTACTTGTCCCAGCTTCTACCAACCTAGCAGTTCGAAAGCACGTAAAAAATGCAAGTAGAAAAATAAGGACCGCTTTGGTGGGAAGGTAATCAGCCTTCCGTGCGCCTTTGGCATTTAGTCATGCTGGCCACATGGCCATGGAGACATTTAGTCATGCTGGCCACATGGCCATGGAGACAGCGCTGGCACTTCAGCTTTGTAATGGAGATGAACAACACCCTGTAGAGCCAGAAATGACTAGCACGTATGTGCGAGGGGGACCTTTACCTTTTGTACAATATAACTAGGGACACCTAGCTAGAAGCATTGAACTAGTCTGGGCTAGTCTGGACTTCATGGGTCAATGATTGGGAGTGGTAGGGATGGTAGTTTAAGAGATGTGGATGCCATCAGAGCCACCTCAAACAGCTTTCCAAGGTCCCTGATTTCCTACCTCCAGCTTGTGTCAGCGACTGATCAGTTGTCTGTACGGAAACTGCTGTGGCATCCCCCACCGTGGAAGCAGGGAAGTATGCAAAACGGGCTTCACCACTGACGGCATCTGTGGCTGGACTTCCACCGTTGCTGAAAGGGTTCTGAATCACAGCCTGGAAACAGAAGGAGATGCATGTGTGGGTCTGTGACAGCAAACCACCCAAAGCAAGATCAATCATGGTTAAAGAGCAAGGGAAGACCTTGAATCTGCTACTGCACTGGAAGACTGGCCCGGAAAATAAAACCCTGGCTTTTATTCGTAACTGGCTACGGGTGATGTGAGTGGCAGGCAGGCCGACAGCTGGGCTAAACAGAAACTCAGAAACTGGGCTAAACTTAGGCAAACTCAATTAAATCAAGACTTCGTGCAGACTACGAAATCAATGCATGGTCCAGGAATGGATTTACAGAAACAGAGGAAAGAGGAATATGAGGAGTGAAGATCCGATTAACTGAAGGAATGCACTGCCCTCTTGTGTTTAAGAATGGGTAACAGATTAAAAAGAGTCAGTTTGGTGCGGTGATTAAGGTACCAGGCTAGAAAATGGGAGACGGTGAGTTCTAGAATAGAATAAAATAGAATTCTTTATTGGCCAAGTATGATTGGACACACAAGGAATTTGTCTTGGTGAAAATGCTCTCAATGTTCATAAAAGAAAAGAGTCAAGAGTCAAGAATCATCAGGTACAACACTTATTAATAGTCATAGGGTACAATAAGCAATCAAATCATACTAGGAAACAGTCAATATAAATCGTAAAGATACAAGCCACAAAGTTACAGCAGTCACAAGTGGGAGTGGATGGGTGATAAGGAGTGATGAGAAGATTAATAGTAATAGCAGTGAAGACTTTGTCAATAGTTGGACAGTGTTGAGGGAATTATTGGTTTAGCAAAGTGATGGCGTTTGGGAAAAAACTGTCCTTGTGTCTAGTAGTTGTTCTGGTGTGCAGTGCTCTATGTGTCGTTTTGAGGGTAGGATTTGAAACAGTTTATGTCCAGGATGTGAGGGGTCTGTAAATATTGTCACAGCCCTCTTTTGGACTCATGCAGTATATAAGTCCTCGATTGAAGGCAGGTTGGTAGTCTAGTCCCACCTTAGGCACAAAGCCGTCTGGCTGATTTTGTGCCAGTCACCTTCTCTAGGCCGGAGGAAGCAGGCAAACCACTTCTGAAAAATATTGCCAAGCAATGTGCACGCCTATCATCTGCCCGCAAAGGAGAACCGCTGGAACCACATAACAGACAAAAGCCATTGAAAACAAAGAAAGCAAAGCGCTCTGGGACTTTAGAATTCAACAGAATTCAGCACCTGCCACCTCAATACCCCAGTTAATTACTCGATCAGAAGAGAAAGAACTGGAGGAAAAAAAATATCACAAAATGCAAAGGCCTGCAAATAGAAGTAGAACAACTCTGGCAAAAGAATGCAAAGAGTACCAAAAGCGATAGGGGCCTTGAGTGTGTAATACCAAAACACCTGGAACACCATTTGAACACCACTGGCATTGGGAAAAAAAAATCACTATTGGTCACTTGCAAAAGGCAGCTTTGTTCAGAAGAGCTTCCATCCTCTGACGCATCAAACAAACATCATCTGTTTTTTCTTGACTGTAAAGTTTCTGGTGATTCTTGTCTATCAGTTGGTGTATCATTTTCTTCTCTTTCTCTTTTTTTCAACTTGTACGTTAACCATCTATCTGGCTTATTTACGTGTTCAAAAAAGTTTTGTTTTGCCATTTTAAATGTTTGTGCCATTTCATCTTGCACGATGAGATTCAGTTTATGTTTTATTAGATCAATTTTCTCTTTAATCTTTTTTTTTTTTTTTTTGCGGCTCATTCTGCAATTCTATCTCCAACTTTTTAAGCTCTTTTTTTTTTGCTGCTGTTTAATTTTCTTACTTTTCCTTGCTATATATGTGATCGCTAACCCTTGAATGTGCGCTTTTGCCGTACCCCAGATATTTTTGCAGTGATGTTTCTTCTTTTCTATTTTCCTTAAAGAAAAATTTCCATTTCTTTTTCCATCATTTGTGTGAAATCCTTGTCTTTTAAAATAGTTTGATTCACTGTCCATCTCGGTTTCTTCTTTTGTTCCTTCCATGTAATTTTTATGGGGTTGTGGGTCTGCCCATATGTTCATTTCTATGTCTACCTCTTGGACATCTCTTGAAAGGACGTGGATAAAAAAAACAGCAACTCCAGTCTAAGCATCTGGTTGATTGTGCGACCAATGGTAACAAATAATATTAATACTGGGGTTAGCCAAAACCATTTCTCACCTGAGCAACAGCTTGCTGGCCACTGGTGAAAGCTGCGGTCGAGACCACGCTAACGGCCCCCGTTGCATCCGTTTGTCCATCCAGCTGACTGTCCGTCACCTGAACTACTCTGTATGTCACCTGGGGAGAAACAGCACAGCCATATCATTCTTCTGGCTGAAGTGGGATTTATTAAGGATGGGGAGAAACGAGGTGATGTTCAGCCCTCTCGAAGAACTCAAACAATCAAACCCCGCTATGACATGATTTCCGCAACAAAAAACGTTTCTTTTCTTTTTTTTGGAGTGCAATGATATGAATCAGAAATAGGAGTGGATTTCCCCTAATTTAGGCGTTTGCCTGCTATATTCCACCATCTTCAGAGATGGTATTCAGCAGGTTCTGACAGGTTCTGCAGAACCGGTAGCAGAAATTTTGAGTAGATCGGAGAACCGGCAAATATCGTCTCTGATTGGCCCTGCCCCATCTATTCTCCGCCTCCTGAGTCCCAGCTGATTGGCTGGGACTTCTTTGGTTGCCCTGCACAGGAGAACGGAGCTGGAAAGCAGGTTAGTGGAATGGGGAGGGAATGGGATTTTGCAGTATCCTTCCCCTATCATGCCCACCAAGCCACACCCCACAGAATCGGTAGTAAAAATTTTTTGAATCCCTCCACTGTAATTGCAAGAGAGGCCAGTCTTTAATTGGTGGACCTCCATCCAAAGTCCAAAATCCAACCTTCCCAATATGGACATTACCTGTCCTCCATTGTTCTCTGTTCGAAACTGATACTGGATATTATGGTCTGCAAAGGCTGCTTGCTGGACGCTGGCAATGGCCACTGCTGTCTGTTCGTCTGCATTTGTGCCGTCCCCTGACGGAGAAAGGAAAGAGATTTCAATTGACGGGTTTTATGATCAATAGCCCCAAAAGCTTAACAATATTTAGTGAATTCTAGAGGCCTGATTAGACAGGGAACCAGATTTGAAAGGTGTAGATTTGTGTCAGGGACTTGCAGAAGAGTGACGGGGGGGAGCGGAAGCTGTTCTTGAGAGTGGAACTCTCACTATCAGCCTATTTAAAATACTGTGTTTCCTTGAAAATAAGACCCTGTCTTATATTTTTTTGGCTACCAAAAAAAGCACCAGGTCTTATTTTTTTGGGGGGGGTATCATCCACTGACTAACCTCACTTGTGTGCGTTGCCCCCCAGGCCTCCTTTTTGCTGTCAGGGGCCTTCAGGAATTTCTTCTTCTGTGGCTGGCAAGGCTTTTCTGAAGGCCTCTGCAGCTGATAACAGAGCTCTGGATTGATCCTTCAGGAAAGCCTTGCCGGCTCTGCCGGCTGCAGAAGAAATGGGCCGGCGAGGTAGGTGTCGGGGTGTGTGAGGCCTGGCTACAACTGTCCAAAGGTAATTAGTAGGGCAGCTCCACCCCTCCCATTCCCACCCTAGCTTAATTTTTACCCGTATTTTAATTAGGATCTTAATTAGGGCTTATTTGGGGGAGTAGGGCTTATATTGGGCACATGCGTAAAAATCAAGCTAGGACTTACTTTCAGGGTAGGTCATATTTTCGGGGAAATGGGGCGGGGGTATCAGCCGTAGCAAGATTGAATATTCTCAAAATTTACACTAGACTGATCCGGATTGCTATTTAATGTACTTTGTTTTCTTCTGTCGGGGATATACAGCTGGGACAGCCAATGGGGCATTTGGAAACAGAAGAAGGTGTACAAGTAGTCCTTGATTTATAATCATTCATTTAGTGGATGTTTGAAGTTACAACCACACACTGAAAAAAAAAGTGACTTAGGACCATTTTTTACGTTTACAGCCTTTGCAACGTCCCCATGGTCACACGATCAAAATTCAGGCACTTGGCAACTCATATTTATGACGCTTGGGCTCACATAGGTCACCGTTTGCAAAACTTCTTGCAAGCCAAGTCAATGGGAAAGGCAGATTCACTTAACAACGGGATTACTAAACTAAAGCACCGCAGTGATTCACTTAACCACTGCAGCAAGGGAGGTCATACAACAGAGCAAGATTTCACTTAACCGTCTCGCTTAGCAACATAAATGTATGATTCAATCGTGGTCTTAAGTCAAGGATTAACTTGGCGTTGCTGACTTTGGAACTCCAGAGAGCTGAGCGTGTGACAAAACACTGTGCAAACATGGACTGCATACCTACCTTTCAAACTGATCTTAGTTGTGTGGTTGTGAGACCCGGGGAAACAGAAAGAGAATTCCTAGTGTTCTGACCTAGGCTTCACAACACCACGAAACAGACTCCTTGTCCCAACAAAACTCCTTTTTATTTGGCTAATATGAATTCCTATCGTTCACATTCAGCAAAGTCCCAGCAAACAGTCTTTCAAGGCTGAATTGCAACCACAGACCTTATCAGGCTTGGAAGAGTTGCCAGGCCGATAGCTTCCAAGCGCAAGGCTGTACAAGGAAATACTTGGCAAGGAGTCTCTGGGAGTCACAAACTCAAGATTAAACAAATCTTCACAATCATTAAATGAATTGTCTCCTGCAAACCCCACTCCCCTTTCGCTCCTTTTTATTCCCTATGGGAAGGGCCATTCACCATCCACCTGTGCCTTTAATCCCAAGTCAACCCTTTTTCCTTAACTGTTCCCTTCTCCTGGCAGCTCTGTGCATGCGTACTGGGAACAGGCTCCAGCTGTTCTTCTGCCTCACCGATCTCCAATTCCGAAGGCAGTTGATAACTGTCAGGAGGCCCTGGCCCCATCTCTGCCTCCAATGCAGAGCCTTCCCCAGACTCCAGGACTGGCCCATGTTCCTTCCCAACCTCCTCACTGTCCGAGTCTGCCGCCAGCTCCACGGGTTGCTGGCGGGCCCCAACACTTAGCACAAGTTGTGTTGGTTGCCATGGGAGAGCAGTCAACACAACTTGTACGCCTAACAGGGAACAGACTCCGGAGCTGTGCAAAGGCTGGTGGGCTACAACTCCCACTGGCCACACCGGTTGGGGCTGATAGGAGCTGTCGTCTGGTTACATCTGCAGGACTCTGGATTTCTTTGAGACAAGGGATACTCTTCCTTGGATAGTTCTCCTCTCTCTCCAATTAGCATTCAACAGAGAATGTTGTATTCTTGGTGGTACAGTGGTTAGAGTGCAGTACTGCAGGCCACTTCTGCTGACTACCAGCTGCCTGCGATTTGGCAGTTCAAATTCCATCAGGCTCAAGGTTGACTCAGCCTTCCTTCCATCCTTCCGAGATGGGTAAAATGAGGACCCAGATTGTTGGGGACAAGATGCTGACTCTTAAACTGCTTAGAGAGGGCTGGCTGTAAAGCACTATAAAGTGGTATATAAGTCTAAGTGCTATTGCTATTGTATCCTGCATGTGACAGGCCACAAAAACCTATGCATGTTGGCTAGATGTTGGCTGCAAAATCATCTGCAGACTAGATCCAGAAAGGAGGTGAGACAGCTTTGCTCCCTTTCTTTAAAACAGTTTATTAATATATTTTTCTTTAACATACATAAGTGCTTTATGAACAGCGTATTGTCTGGGACTATTTGCTTACATAATCATATATAATATAATAATATATTCAACATAAGACATACATAATAGTATTTTTCCAATTTCTAATTTCTTCTGTTGTCCCACCATTGATAAAATAAGTCCCATGTTTGAAAACATTCTGTATCTTCTTTATCTTTTATCTTAAACGTCAACCTATCCATTTCTGCACAATCTAGTTTTTTTAAAATTACATCTTCTTCTACGGGAGGGTTCCTCATTTTTCCAGTGTTATGCATATACAATTCTTGCTGCTGTCAAGACATGTAATATTAAATATATATGCTCCCATTTTTATACCCCCGGCTGGGGATTTCTGGACCAGCCCAGAATTTTTCCTTACCTTCTCGTAGCTCAACTCCATCTTCACTTTCTTGATCTTTCTCGTGGCTGAAATGCAAAAGAAAGAAAAAAAAGAATTCAGCTGTATTTCCTTCCTGCTAGATATGGGGAAGGGAGGAGGGGAACTCAACAATTAAGCATAGAGGTTTTTTTTTTTTTTAACCCTCAGTAGGACCAAAATGAGCCAGATGAAAAGTTTAGGAGCATATAGAATCTCTCCCTCCCACACACACCGCAAATGGCTGCCTCCTTTTTAAGGAGTTTTGCAATCAGTTGCAAAAGTAAAAGCAACTCAGAAGCTGCAAAATAGCTTTTTGTTTGCTGTCCTGTTTTAGAGGAATGAAAGCATAGAGCACTTTAAATTTTAGCCTCCAGCTCTGGGGTTCATTCACTCAGAAAGATTTCAGAGGCCAAAGATGGAGTACTTGGCACATAAAATAGACCTGGATTGGGCCAGGATCACAATTTATGATAAATAAGTTTCTGGTCTCATGTTCCCCAAATGAAACGGCGGAAATCCAATGGCCAACGACTAGTTGAGAAGTTCAAAACAGGAGGAGTTCAAAAGATGCTCTGTTGGGAGTTGGGGTTTCAGCGCTTGGGACCCACAAAACCAGAATGCACCCACCCACCCCAACATGCTCCACTGCAGACAATAAAACGTGGCGTCAAACAACTGAAATGATAGTTACATAATTGTCAGTGCTTTTTTCAAAAGGCAAACTGGACTTTTATTTCCTGAAGACATTTCACTACTCATTTAAGAAGCTTCTTCTTACTGAAGGGTGGGGGAGGAATGGAAGGATTTATATATTCCTTGCAGTCACCTGGTTCTTAGCACTCTCTGAGGGCCAATAAGACCACTTGGTATTGTGGTTCACCGGCAGGTGTGGATGGCTGAGGTCTCGGAGAGCGAGGACTCAGATGAGGGGCCTGTGTGCGATGCAGGGATGGGGCCAGGACCATCAGGGAGTGGAGTGCTGCCTTCGGAGATTGTGGAGGCTGGCAGCAGTGATGAAGAGGCCCCTGGGGAGCCTGTGCCCAGTGCACGCAGGGCTGCTCGTAGGAAAGAGCAGCTGCAGCAGCACGGGCGACTTGGGAGAAAGGTTGCAAGGTAATGGCCCCTTCCTTAAGAGATAAAAGCCAGCCGAGAAACCGGAGTTCTTTGCAGGAAGCAAATAACTTTTTGCACTCCAGCCTTGTGGACGTTCGGACTCTCTTAGTTGGTGTTTGGAGACTCTTTGTGTTTGGAATATTTCTTGGCAACTTAATCTAGTGTTCTTGGCAGCCTTGCACAACCTTGGCAAGGCTTGTTCTTATCAGAGACAATTAGTTTGAAACAGCCTTTTAACCGAGAAGGAACGGAATTTGTAAAGAATCATTAAAAGGTTTTGATGTTACCTCTGTTTGGTGTTTACTTCCTTGGAACAAGGTTTGGGTCAGAACACTTGGGGGGGGGTGTTATCTGCACCCTCAGGGTCACCTGAATCAGAGTGCAAATGAGTGTGGCATCTTCTTGGAACTGCTGAAAGGACTGTGTTGTAAAACAGGAGACCCCAAGATGCTTTTTCAAGAAGCAACTGGAGTTTCCGAGTTTTTTTCTTTGAAGACATTTCGCTTCTCACCCGAGAAGCTTCTTCAGCTCTGACTGGATGGTCCCCACCATCCAGTCAGAGCTGAAGAAGTTTCTTGGAAAAGAAGCAAAATGTCTTCAAAGAAAAAACAAAACCAGAAAGTCCAACTGCCTTTTGAAAAAGCACTTTTGGGTCAACCGTGACCTGGATGACAAAGAATCTCCATAGATGTTTACTTACAGAATTCAATTCATTCAGTGCAGAATTCAAAGGACCCAAGCTGGGCATCGTAATTGTCCTTGGTGCTCTCTGAGCTCGGCTGTTGTCTTGCAGATACGATGGGACTGATGATGTTAACTAGTCGGGTAATGAAATGTCTGCACCCAAACAACCAAACTCAACAGACCCCCAAGGACTTCGCGGTTCAACTTTATTATTATTATTTATTTATTTTGTCAAACGATTATAAGATAAGAGATATAAGTATATACATAGTTATGAATACATGAAAATGGGTACATATAAGAAAAATAAAAGAAACAATAGGACAGGGACGGTAGGCACGTTGGTGCGCTTATGCACGCCCCCTACAGACCTCTTAGGAAAGGGGTGAGGTCAATAGTAGACAGTCTAAGGTTAAAGTTTTTGGGGTTTGGGGAAGAAACCACAGAGTCAGGTAGAGTATTCCAGACATTAACCACTCAGTTGCTGAAGTCCTATTTCCTGCAATCAAGTTTGGTGTGATTAACCTTGAGTTTGTATCTATTGTGTGCTCTTGTGTTGTTATGGTTGAAGCTGAAGTATTCATTGACTGGTAGGACATTGCAATATATGATTTTATATACTATACTTAGATCGGACGAAAGGCGGCATAGTTCTAGGTTTTCTAGGTCTAGAATTTCGAGTCTGGTGGCATAAGGTATTCTGCAATGAGTAGAGAACTCTTCTTGTGAAATATTTCTGGACTTTCTCAATTGTGTTAATATCAGATACGTAATGTGGGTTCCAGACTGATGAGCTGTATTCCAGTATTAGTCTAGCAAATGTTTTGTATGCTCTAGTTAGTAGTGTGATATTACCAGAGAAAAAGCTACGTAGGATTAGGTTAACAACTCTTAATGCCGTTTTGGCTATGTAGTTACAGTGTACTTTCAACTAGAGAGATTCTTCTCTATTAGACTGTAAATTCTTTCTTGCCTGGTACGTCTCCTACGGATTGAAGAGGTTTGTTTCATGCTATAAACTACGTTTGCTGGTTGTGTGCACACCCAAACGAAGTCTCACCTCTGCAGTGGGCCACAGTTGTAGATTTCAACTTCCTACCGAAATCCACGGATCTCAATATTTCAATACTGAAAACAGGAAATGCATGGATGAATATCAACCCCCCCACCCCCCAAGTTCAACTTTCGCTTTCCACAGACTGGAAGGAGAAAACAGCCTTACAGTCCTAGAAAGCAGCTATCTTAATCCTTCACTCTTGGCAGTTGTTGCAAAACAGGCTGAAAGCACAAGGCAGAGCACCAAAGGTGTCCAAAGGATGACAGTTACTGTACACATTTGTGGATAAGCCCATCCGGATAAGCCAACCCTCGATTTTTTTTTTTAACCAACTTACCATGAAAAATATGCCGCTCATGGATAAGCCAACCCTCATTTTTCACGCGTATTTTGGTTCAAAACTGGAGGGTCAGCTTATCTAAGGCAGAGGTCGCCAATCTTTTGGACCTCAGGGACCACCAAACTCATAATTTTAAATCCCATGGACCAGAGACCCCCGAAATTCTGCAGGAAAATTCCCCACCCTGTTTTCCTACTGATTGGTCGTTCTTTATTTGGGATCGCAGGATACCGCCTCCAATTCTGTTCTCAGGGGGAGAAAGAGAGAGAGAGACTTTTGGCTTCATGCAAGGAAAGCAGCAGAAGTCTTTCTTTCTCTCCCCTAAATTCCGCCAGAAATGAGTCTCTGTGAGGTTTGTCGTGCCGGCGCAGCCTCTTGGAGCAGGATGCCTTGCAGGGTCCCAAAGACTCGTTTCTGGTAGAGTTTGGGGGAGAGAAAGAAAGACTTTTGCTGCTTTCCTTGTGTGCAGCCAAAAGCAGAAGAAGAAAGAAGCGGAAAGAAGTAGCCCAGTGGCAGGCGAGGCGCATGGGGCAAGTCCCCACCTCTGCCCTTTCCCCCCTCCCCTCACTACCTCGTGTTGTTCTCAATGCAAGCGATGCAAGCCTTGTGTTCCCACAGGCCATGTGGGCAGCACCGTCTTGTGTTCCTGCGCAGCCTGGATTAATTGCTTTGGGGGTGTTTTGGGAGTGACATTTCTCTGTGGACCATCAAAATCTTTGCGCGGACCACCAGTGTTCCCCAGTCCACTAGTTGGCGACCACTGATCTGAGGGACATACAAGCACCTTTATGAAGTGTTATTATATACACTTGCAGATAAGCCCATTCGTGGAGGAGCCAAACCAAATTTTTGGGGGTGTATTTTGGCATCTAAAATTCTCAGCTTATTTCCAAATATATATGGTATGCAAGAACCAATTAAGCGGGCTTAGAAGAATCCTGGGGGTCATATTCTCTAAGAGGGCAACCTGTTAGGGATGGATGGACTATGGGTTTATTTATTTTTTTACTTCTACTTCCCTTCCTGCTAAATGCTCATCTTTCCTTCTTGCATAATTTGAGCCAAAGCCCATAGATAACCTGCTCCCAAAAAGGATAATTATTTATTTATCTATTTAATAAATTTATGCAGTCGCCTATCTCACAATGGCAACTTTGGGTCATCTACATAGGATTTAAAAAAAACAAAAACAGATTTAGGCTATTTGAGGGACGGTGCATCTCAAATTGTTTCTGCTCATCCTACCAGAATTAGATTAGAGGCAATGCCCATCTTGCTAGAACCAACAGTAAGGGTGCCTTTTCTGTTGCAGGGCATGTCCTATGAAACGTAATTGCTCCAGAGATCTGAATGGCCCCAACTATGTTAGTCTTGCATAAGGGTTTTTAAAGAGCTGGCTTTTCCCTAGACTTTTTTTGAGTTTATAGAGGCAGAACAAGCTCTAATGGCTAATTGGCTTCTTGTGCTTTTCTTCGTAAATGGAATTATTTTTGCAACCTCAGACCTTCATTATTTAGTTTAGTTTAGTTTACTGTCATTGCACCGCGTACAAAGAAATCAAACACCATCTTCAGTGCACATCATGACCATGAAAATAAACCCAAACACACATCCTTCACACTCCACACATGGAATTGAAAACCACCCGACTCTGCACTATATAGTAGAATTCAACAGAGCTACTGCCCTGGGATAGAAGCTGTTTTTCAGCCTATTTGTCCTTGCTTTATTTGGATTGTTTGGTTGCTATCGTTGGTTGTAGTTCATTTCTATGAGATGGGGCAGATATGGGAGTCACTGGAGTGAAACCCCATTTAGAAACACAAAGAAAAAAAAAAGAAGCATCCATAAAGAAATACACGGAACCCTTGCTTTAACAAACAGTCAAAATTATGACGGGCTGAATGAGTGGTAGTTAGAATAGGTCCTTGAAGTTCTGCCCCCACAACCCCCAAGGGAGGTTGTCCCATGCTTGTTTTCCTAACAGTTTTGACTGCATTTGGAAATCCTGGTGATTATTTATTTGGAAATCTGTGTATCACTTGTTGCAGAACAATAGAAGCTACCCAAGGAATTTCCCTGCTTCAAGAATGGTTTAGAAACCCTGCTTTCATGGGACAAAAACAGTGACGCAAGTCTAAACATCTCTAATGTGTAAACACTTACATTTTTTTTTTAGCAGTGGTGTGTGTTTGTGTGTGTGTGTGTGTGTGTGTGTGCGTGCGTGTACGTGTGTGGGATCTTTTCTAATTTTGGTTGCCCCTCCTAAGCATGCTTTCATGGCTTTAAGACCCCAAATTCACTGCAGAGAGAAAGGAGGCTCTGCAGTGATTAACAGATTAACACAGTTGGAAGGGACTTTGTAGGTCATCTAGTCTACCCCCTCCCCTGAGTGAGAGAGGGGGTACCCCCAAAACGTCAGATTTGGTGAGGTTCGTTCACCGTCATTCTTTCCCACCTAAATCTAATTTACTGAGATCTTCCTATTTCAATTCCAAATGGCCTTTTTAAAAACCCAGAGCCGGTTCAGGGCCCCATCCCAGAGATTAGAGTACCTGCTGAGTAGCAAATACTAATAATAGATAGCCTTTCCTGCTTCGTCCCTGTTCTACTTTTTGTCAAATCAGGACGGTTTGGGTTATTTTTTGGGGGGTGGGGGTGGGGAAACGTCCCCCTCCCCAATATAGTACATCAATAGGGACAGAGAAATGAGCAGTGGCAGGAATCGCCTCGGGTTAAGTCCAACCAGGAACAAGAGAAATATGATAAATAATTAAAGGACAAGCGTAGGGGCAGAATGAATGAGAGCTGAATGGAGGGGAAAAGGAAAGTGATTGAAAAGAACCATCAAATTGGATGGGATTTGATTTGGGCAGTTAAACTAACTCAAGCTGTCTTGCCCAGTTTGACACAGGCCAAATCCAGAGCAACCCCAAAAGGCCTTGCTTGAAGATTTATTTATTTTTCCTTCTCAATCTGTACTGCTGCAACTTTACTGGGCCAATTAACATAACTGCAAAATTCCAGAAGGGTTCCCAGAGAAAGCATGCTGCACAAAATGTAACACTCTTTGAGCTTTGGGGTTTGCCTCCCAAGTTACTAGCCAGAAAAATAAAATAAAAAATTACTGGTCTCTTTGAGGGGTGGGCTATGAAAAGAAGATCAAATCACCCACTGACTCGCCTTCCTACTATTTCTAACCGCCACTAGTGATGAAGCGAGTCTATAAAATATCAAGGCTGAATTATTTAGCGTTTCAGCATACTCATTCCCCTCCAAGGAATTTTGAACAGCCTGCCCGATTCTGGCATAATCACTTTATTCTGCTTTGGCACAGCGTAGTGGCTGAAAAAGGGCAGCGGAGTGTAGTAGTTAAAGTACTGGACTAGGTGAAGAAGAGATCCAGGGTTCAGCCACGGTCTCAACCCAGCTAACCACCTAAGAGTTGCTATAGTTTTAATTAGTTTACTTCATTATCATTGCAACTTGTACAAGGAAAGTAAATGCCATCTTAAGTGTACATTGTAACTGTAAAAATAAAACACAAACACACATCCTTCACATTCTACACCAAGGGTCTTCAAAACTTGACAAGTATAAGACTTGTGGACGTCAACTCCCAGAATTCCTGAGCTAACATGACTGGAGGAGGAATTCTGGGAGTTGAAGTCCACAAGTCTTAAAGCTGTCAAGTTTGAAGAACTCTGTTCTACACAATTGAATTGAAAACCCTTGATGTCGCATTAATATTGTACTATACAGTAGAATTCAACAGTTACTGCCCTGGGATAGAAGCCGTTTTTCAGCCTATTTGTCCTTTTTATTATCCTGTACCGTCTGCCAGATGGTAATAGTTAAAAAAAAAAAAGGGTTCCCAGGATGAGATGGATCTTTGAGAATGTTTTGAACTTTCTTAAGGCAGCGGGAGCTATAAAGCTCTTCCAAAAAGGGGAGAGGGCAACCCATGATCCTCTGGGCAATGACGTTCACCCTCTGGAGCGCTGTCCTATCTGCCTCTGTGCAATTGCCAAATCATACAGAGGTGCAGTAAGATAAAATACTCTCTATGGTGCAGCGGTAGAAGGTCACCGGCAGTTTTTCATTCAGTTGTTTCCTGAGAAGCCTCAGGTAGTATAACCTGTTCTGGGCCCATTTAGTTTACTTTACGGCACCTCGTACAACAAAATCAAACACCATCTTCAGTGCACATCATGACCATGAAAATAAACACAAACACACATCCTTCACACTCCACACATTGAACCGAAAACCCCCAACACCGCACCAACACTGCACTATACAGTAGAATTCAAAAGAGCTACTGCCCTGGGATAGAAGCTGTTTTTCAGTCTATTGTGCTTATTCTGTGCCGTCTGCCAGGTGGTAATAGTTCAAAAAAGGGGTTCCCAGGAATCAGATGGATCTTTCGACCACTGCTGCAATGTGAGCACCCCAGGTCAGGTTCTCTTTTATGGTAACACCCAGAAACTTGATGGTGGTGGTGGGGACAGGGAGGGGGGGAGAAATAGATAAAAGCACCACACCGCTGCTTTGAGCTCCCGCGTGAAAAAAGCAGAATATAAATCTAAGAAGTATGACTGTTTGCTGGAAAGGTGAGCCACCTGGCCTGCTCCTTGCTTTGTCAGCACTGCTGTGAATTATTCTCTGTCCCAGATCTGGTGGAACGATCTAAACCAAAACTGGATTAAGTGTATTTATTGTGCAAGCCAGCCAGGTTACATTTACACGGCTACGATGCCACCCAGAGAAAAGTACCACTTCAAACTCTGCACTCGGCCCACATCACACCCCCTCCCCATTCAGTTTCCCCCCGCTTTCCTTCCCCCCCCCCCCCCCGCCCCCCCCCTCCTCACCCAGACTGCCTTCCTTTCTGCAACCACTTGCCCGGTATATGTCAGCTTCCTGACAAACAGCCCTGGCCGAAAGGGAGGAGCAGAACAGGGAGGGTTGTTGCTCTTTCAATTGGCCTAACAACCCCACCAGGCAGTCCAGACGGAGAAACCACTGATAGCCCCAAAGTGCTTTTTCCAAGGAGGCAACTGGACTTTTTTTTTTCCCCCTTCTTTTTAAGACATTTTGCTTCTCCTCCAAGAAGCTTCTTCAGCTCTGACAGGATAGTGGGGAATGGAAGGATTTATACTCCTTGCGGACAGCTGGTCATTTGCATCCTTTAAGGGGGGGAGGTCGTTGAGGCTACCTGGAGGTTTATCTGTGTCCCCTGGGTCACCTGAGTAATGCTCCTGGGTTCAAGAACCCTCTAAAACAGGGGTGTCAAACTCACAACCCAGATGCATCACGTGTGGCCCACCCCGTTTAGCGAAGGGGAGAAAAAGTCCCGATACATCACCTTGAGGCCGTGAGTTTGACACCCCTGCTCTAAAAGGATGCAAATGACCAGCTGTTTGCAAGGGATATAAATCCTTCCATTCCCCAATTATCCCATCAGAGTTGAAGAAGCTTCTTGGGTGAGAAGCAAAACCCCTTCAAAAAGAAAATGAAAAAAAAAAAAACAACAACCAAGAAATTCCAGTTGCCTCCTGAAAAAAAAAAGCACCTTTGGGACAACCATGACCTGTGGATGACTGAGCACCTCCACAGATAGCACAAGGTCAGCCAAAAAAAAAAAAAAAAGGACCACGAATCCCTGCTCCAAGTCTACAACACGGGTGTTTTAAAGGCCTCTTGGAGATCAGGCTGTTGCCTCCCTTTCACCCAGAGGACTTCCTTTTTCCCTGTTTTGACAGCAGGGATCTGGATGTGGGGCTGTCCTTCCCTCCCCCCCCTCCCCCCCAATCCCTCCCTCCTTGACGGCAGCCAACCAATCTCTGCCGGGCTGCCCTTTTCCAGTGTGACAGCAAACAAACCGGACACCCCAAACGACGGCTGCTTTTCTTTTCTTTCTCCCCTCCCTCCCTCCTTCCTTCCTTCCTTTCCGGATCGCCCCAGACATTTCCCATCTAGGACCTACCGGGGGGGGGGGGGGGGCGGGAGGAAGGGAAACCTCACCCGCGTCCTCCCCCAGCCTTTTGGCCAATGCAGACCCCACCCCACCAGCCCTCCCAGTCAGCCACACTGGGGGAGAATGGGACTTGTAGTCCGTCCAAGCCCCCCTCCCCCTTTCCCTCCTGCTTGGAAAGCAAGAAGGGGTATAGGAAGAATCCCACCCGGGCGAGCATTACACTTGAGAACCCCCCCCCCCCCCCCCCCAGCCCTAGAAATCCCCGCAGGGATCCCCTTTTGTTCCCCCCCCCACCTGCATTCTCCCGCCCCCCGGAGACACCCCCCACCCCACCCCACCTCCTTCGGAAGCGCCCCTCTTCTCTCCCCCTCCTCCCTCAGGGGCAGAAAGAGAGGACCGTCCGCCGTGTCCTCCATTTTGTTCTTCCTCCCCACTCCCCGGTCGCCGCCGCCGCCGCCTGCACCGCAGGAGCAGGGTGGATCGTCGCTGGCTCTCCCCCTCCCTCTGTAGTCTCTCTCTCTCTCCCCTCCCCCATCTCTCCGTAGGCCTGGGAGGCCGGAAAGGAAAGGAACCCGGGCCCGGGGCAGCTTTTGGACGGGCTTCTTCTGCCCCCTTACCTGGAAGCAGCGGAGGCGGTGGCTGTATCCAGACCGGGTTCCAGCATGTCCATGGGAGGGGGGTGGGAGAGAGGGGAGGGGAGGGGGAGGGGAGGGAGGGAAGGGGGGGCGCCCCGCTGGCCCCCCAAAGGGGACGCAGGCGGGGTGGGGAGGGAGGCAGCAGGAGAAGGAGGGGACGAGTTTTTAAATCTCACGCCGGATGGAGGTAGAGGGGACGCGGAGGAGACACGGGAGCCGAGGCGCTGATCACGGGGACAAACACTCGGGTCATGTGAGAAGGAAAGAGCGAGCGAGCGAGCGAGCAGCGAGAGCGGGTCTCTCCCTCCCTCCCTCCTTGCCTTTTCCCCAGCTGGGAGCCCGGGACACGTGAGGGGGGGGGGCGGTGGTGGAAAGCGTGGGAACCGGAGGAGGAGGAGGAGGAGGACGAAGAAGAAGAAGGAGCCGGGCTTCTGCCGAGGGAAGGTCCGCGCGGCCTGCTTTGGAACGTCGGCGGGCGGCGGGTGGAACGTTGCAGCCCTTACGGAGCGGGAGGGGGAGGGGAATAGAACGTTGCGACGATCCGGGGCGGGGGGAAAGGGGAGGGGAATGGAACGTTGCAGCTCCGCGGATGGAACGCGGCGGGGTTCGATCGAACGTTGCGGCAACAGCGGCGGCGGCGGGGGGGGGGGAGGGAGTTGGGAAGCCTGGGTTTGGTTCGGTTTGGTTTTACATCGCGGGAAAGAAAGGAAAAGAGAGCGGAGGAAACGGGCTGGGCTGCCAAAAGGGAGGCGAAGCGAACGAGAGCCGAGGGAGGGAGGAGGAGGGGAGGAGGGGGGGAAGGGAAGGAGTAGCCGAGCGCGATCGGCTTGCGCTCGTTTTTCTCGCTTCCTCCTTTCCTTCCTTGTAGTCCTCCAGGGCGCATGCGCGCGTGGCTCAAGGGCATCGGCTTCTAAGAAGGGATAAGTCGGGGAGGTCGGGGAGAAGGTGGAGCTCACAGGAAGCGGGAGCCTCGTACGCCTTTATCTAACTGTCTGTTTATCTGTCTGTCTGTCTGTATGTATGTATGTATGTATGTATGTATATGTATGTACCATATGTATGTATGATATTCAGCCATACATACACACACACACTCATATACATACCGTATATGGGAAGGCCTTTGGTGTTTAATTGTTCAGCCCGTGGAGACGAGATTTTGTATTTTTCAAGCATGCAATGCAACAACAGTACTTGGCCGAGCAACCTTGGAGTTGAAAGTTCGCCCCCTTGGGGATTGTAACGTTTGCACCAGGCCGTGTCAGGGGATGGCTGAACTTGGGCTCGGGGAAATTGGCCTGGGGCTGAGTTTGGGCGGGCCTCTACAAAACAAAAAAAAAAAAAAACCAACCACAACGACCCCAAAGGAAATTTAATCAAATTAAGTCTTGCAGGTGGCACAAATGGGAAGGGAACAAAGCTCTCTGCCAGTTTCTTTGCAGGTCCTGCAAATTCAATGAGAAAAAAACAGCAGATTGTAGGTGAAAACAGAATTGTGTATTTTGTGTGTGTGTGTGTGAGAGAGAGAGAAAGAGACAGCGAACTAGAGAGGAGGAGAGGGGAGAGAGAGAAGGAAGGAGGGAGAGGAGAGAGGGAAGGAAAGAGAAAGGAGAGGGGGAAGGAGAGAAAGGGAGAGACAGCAAAGGAGAGGGGGAAGGAGGAGGGGAGAGAGGGAGAGAAGGAAGGAGGGAGAGGGAAGGAGAAAGCAAAGGAAAGGCGGGAGAAAGGGAGAGGAGAGGGGAGACAGCAAAGGAGAAAGGGGGGAAGGAGAGGAGGGGAGAGAGGGAAGGAAGGAGGGAGAGAAGAGAGGAAGGAAAGAGCAAAGAAAAAGCGAAGGAGAGAGAAAGACAGCAAAGGAGAGAGAAGGAGGGAGAGGAGAGGGAGAATGAAGAAGGGAGAGGGAGACGAGAGAAGGAAGGAAAGAGAATATGAATGTGCACTATATAATTTTGGATGCTTGGAGGAAAAGGGTGGCACATGCCATTTTGTAAAGGAAGAAACTGGGCCATAACAGGCTTACTCTGCTAGGCCCCAGTCAAGTGAGTTCACACAATGTGCCAAACCCAATATATGGCTTAATGCGAGGTGGAACCAGACTTCTACAGCTCCTTAGACAAGCCAGGATGAAAGCAAGCCCTGGTGTGGTTTCATGTTTGAAATTTCAGCTCTTGTTCCTTTTTTTGCCTGCTGCTAGTGATAGTAGATAACACCCTCCAAAGTTTTTAAAATTCATACTAGCTGGTCCTTTGAACCTTCGTTAATCAACAACAAAACGCATGAGTGTTAAATTGGCCGTGACATAAACATTGCACTTTTCAGAAAGTTTATGCATACTGTACAAATAATATTAAATCTGAAATATTGACAGTATTGCATCAAAAAAAATTCACGGGTGGATTTTTTTTTAAAAAAGGAAACAAATCTCTGAATTAATCCATTGAGTTTAGTGGAGGGGTTTTCAGTGAGGTGGTTGTAAATGCTGAAAGTTCCCGTCCATTTCTTGCAAAGGGACTAGTATTAAAATCTCATGTCTGAAAAGATTTTTGCCTGCCATGGATATAATGGATTGGTACGATGACACCTGTTGTGATTATAGAATGGGTACAAAAAATTTGCAGAGGCAACTCATAAACATTGATCAATAATATGGAGAAGGGCAGGGAGTCAAAACTGGGGGATATAATTGATTATTGCACGAAACTGGTGGGTAAAAGGCTTTTGACCAGCAAACCAAGGAACAATTATTTAAAATGAAGAATTTAAGGCTGGGAAGTGGGCAGTTCATTCCATTCTGTGGAATACCAAGGCTGAATTCACATGTGTCTAAACCTGGCTAAACTGAGGTTTATTTTACAGGTGGTCCTGTTGTGGGAAATACCGCCTGCCCTAGGCTAGGTGCCTCAGACAGGCTGATTAACCTCATATCCACTCTCGGAGGCTTTCAGGAACTACTTTTGCAGCCGGCAAGGCTTATCCTGAAGGCCTCTGTGGCTGATAATGGAGCTCTGGATCGATCCAGAGTTTTGTTATCAGCTGCAGAGGCCTTCAGGAAAATGGGCCAGCAAGGCAGGCTACAACTGTCCAAAGGTAAGTGGTAGGGCAGCTCCACCTCCCCATCCCCACAATAGCTTAACTTTTACCCATTCACTCTGGAGTGGGCGGGATTTTAATTAGGGCTTATTTTGGGGGGTAGGGCTTCTATTGGGCACATGTGTAAAAATCAAGCTAGGACTTACCTTCAGGGTAGGTCGTATTTTCGGGAAAACTCAATTGTTGGAAATGCAACAATATGTATGTATGTGTGTGTGTATGTATGTGTGTATTTATTTATTTATTTTAGTTAAACAGGTTTAACGCCACGTATGTGTTGGGTATTGAGTCTTAGCCTTGAACTCTTAAATTGGTAAGTGTCTATGGAGATTCTCAGTCATCCAGGTCATGGTTGTCCCAAAGGTGCTTTCTTTTTCAAGAGGCAACTGAACTTTTCTTGTTTTTTCTTTGAAGACGCTTCCCTTCTCATCCAAGAAGCTTCTTCAGCTCTGACAGGATGGTGGGGAATGGAAGGATTTATACTCCTTGCAGACAGCTGGTCCTTTGCATTCTTTTAGTGGGTCGTTCAGGCCACCTGGAGGTTTATCTGTGTCCTCAGAGTCACCTGAGGAGGTGCAAATGGGTGTGGAGCCTTCTTGGAACTGTTGAAAGGACTGTGTTGTAGATTGGAGATAGATGATGTCATATCCCTCCCCCTCTGTTCAGGTTCACTCTCTTCTTTTTTTCCTTTTGAAGACATTTCACTTCTCATCCAAGAAGCTTCTTCAGCTCTGACTGGAGGGTGGAATGGACATCAGAACTGAAGAAAGCTTCTTGGATGAGAAGCAAAATGTCTTCAAAGAAAAACCAGAAAGTCCTTTAGGAAAGCCTTGCTGACTGCAGAAGAAATGGGCCGGCAAGGCAGGTGTCGGGGTGTGCAAGGCCTGGATACAACTATCCAAAGGTAAGTAGTAGGGCAGCTCCACCTCCCCATCCCTACCCTAGCTTAATTTTTACCTGTGCACCTTTGGGACAACAATGACCTGGAGGACTGAGAATCTCCATAGATAGACTGCTGCTTTTGTTATATATAATTATATAATTGTATTCTTACAATTTATATTGACTGTATCCTAGTATGATTTGATTGCTTATTGTACCCTATGACTATCATTAAGTGTCATACCTTATGATTCTTGACGAATGTATCTTTTATTTTATGTATACTGAGAGTATTTATACCAAGACAAATTCCTTGTGTGTCCAATCACACTTGGCCAATAAAGAATTCTTTCTTTCTTTCTTTCTTTCTTTCTTTCTTTCTTTCTTTCTTTCTTTCTTTCTTTCTTTCTTTCTTTCTTTCTTTCTTTCTTTCTTTCTTTCTCTATCTATCTATCTATCTATCTATCTATCTATCTATCTATCTATCCAGATAGTCCTCGACTTATGACTGTTTCCCATTTATGACCGTTGCAGCATCCCCGTGGTCATGTGATCAAAATTCAGATGCTTGGCAACCAGCTCATATTCACGGCATCTCCCTTTTGAGACCCTCTAACAAGCCAAGTCAGTGGGGAAGCCAAATTCGCTTTGCAACCAGGTTGCTAATTTAACAACTGCAGAGATGCCCTTAACCAAAGGCAAGTCGTAAAATGGGACACAACTTCCTTTAAGAAATTTTTCACTTGGCAACATGAATTCCAGGCTCAATTGTGGCCATAACTCAAGGACTACCTGTAGTTATAGAGAAACAAAAGAGTTTTAATGTGCTTCCTCCTCACCCCCTTCCTCTTTGTGAGAATTGAGGGTGTTGCTTGAGATGCTTTCTCAAGTTACATTTCTGCCCTGGACTCAAGTTTCATTTTATCTCCAGGTGGCTGGAGAATTCTGGGAGTTGAAGTCCACAAGTCTTAAAAGTTGCCAAGTTTGGGGATCCCTGATTTATCTGAATGTTGTCTCAGTAGGTTTTCCTGCCCACCAGAGCAGCCTGTTGGTGAACGAATGGGTAACCTTTTCCCACGGAAAGGCTACCCATTCATTTTGTGAATCTGCTCGCGACCTGCTAACAAAAACCACCCACGTAGCCTATAACTCAAAAAAATGCCCTGAAGTTGCAACCCTTGCATTCTATTTTACAATTAACAGGGAAAGGAAAATGCTCTAGAAAAGAGATCCTGAGCCACAGAATATTTAGGCAACGTATTCTAACAAAACAGGGAGGAAAAATGGTGAGACTGAGCAAGACTGCTGGATCACGTGTGAGCAAGAGGTAGATCATGATTTACTGGTAAATACTGTTGATCAACCAGAGTGTCCTCATTTACAACCCACGTGCAGAAAGAAACTCATCCTTCTAGATTAACTGCTGAGAAGAACAAAAATGTTTAGGGAGAAAGGTTAAAAAAAATATAGGCTGGCTGGGGAATTCTAGGAGTGAAGTCCACAAGTCTCAAAAGTTGCCAAATTTGAAGACCTTGATTTAGAAAGAGAAAGAGCTAGTGAAGG